TGGTATGTCCCGGCATGGGGACAGAACCCATTGCCTTCCTCATCTAGTCGAACATTTAACATTAAAGCCAAAAGTAAAGCATTGCCAAGCAAGTCAATAGGAAATAAAAGGCAGTTAAGATAAGAGAGAAACATTAATATTATACGGATGGGTCTAAAAAAACAATGGAGTAGTACTAGGGATTTATCCACCAGAAAATAATATAGCAATCGCGAGAAGACTAACAGATACCTGTTTTGTATGTACAAGTGAATTTATAGCCATAGGTTAAGCACTCAGATTTATTGATAAAGAAAAACCTGAACAAGGAGCCGTAATACTCACGGACAATCCATCCAAAACCAAAAATAGTACCAGAACAACCGTACATAAATCACAGTACAAACACTTTAAGCTCAAGGAATCCCCGTTATATTTGAATATGAAGCAGCTCATGTAAACTTTCCAGGAAATGAAATAGACGATAAATTAGCCCAAAGGGCACTTAAACAAGAAACAATTCAATGCGAAGATATTCTATCTAAAGAAGAGACATACTCTCTAATTAACAAATCCATAGATAAAAAATGAGGAAATAAATATGGAACGAAGTAGGGGAAATTAATGTACTTCAAAATATAGTAAAAACAATAAAAAAAACCAAAACTATATGGCCATAGAAAACTTGAAGATGTTACAATAACAAGACTCGGTACAACCTCAATTCTATAAACCAATCAAAATTAGTATATCAGTATATTAGTAAAGACATATAAGCAAACTATATTGGTCTTTTTCAGGTAACATACAGTGTTCGTTTACAAGTAACACAATCCCCACCATAAACAACTCCAACTTAACTTCAACCCTTTTCTTTTAAATAAAAGCAAACATAAGTATTTACCGACAAATTCAATTTTATTTCAACCTGCGACCACTACACGCATTTCCGTATTCCCCCATGTCTTATCACATGTGTTTTGTTTGTCTGTCATCTCCTGGTGGTTTTCATAGCGTATCGTCTAAGCGTTCCTTTCTTTTGCTATAGGTGTATCCGTACCGAGCTACAATAAACTTTGACAGCAACACAGCCGAAGTGTACACGAGCAACAAAAAACTGCTTTCACCTAGTAACACCAACACGAACAAAATGCCTGAAAATGTTTCCATCATATGACCCATTATGACAGGGTTGATGGCAGTCAGAGCAGTTATCACGAAGAAAACCAACGCCGATATTTTACCACTCACTGGGGAAACAATTTCTTCAATCCACGACAACACGCTCGGCAAAATAGCCGACTTGCCGAATCCGAATCCAATGGCAGCAATAAATACTCCAACGTTTGAGAGATTGACGGCGCTTGCGTATAGTCCAACAAAAGATAACATTGTTATGAGACAATGGAATCCTACGAGAGTCATTGGGCTAATGAATTGTATTACAACCACTGACCATATTCTACCGACCACTACAATGGTGCTGGACACTGACGTCAACAGGGTCCCTTGGGATTTAGTCCATTTCAGGTAATTTACACAGAACGTGGTCAGGAATCCGAAAAACGTGTCGTCGATACAGCATATCAGTCCCGATACACACACCAAACTCCCCAGTGCCAAACACTTCAATGATCTCGGGAGCGTTCTGGTTTCAAACTCCTTAGAGACGCGTAATTCGTTTTTGGCCATTTGAGTTTGGCGCTCAAACTGAATGTAGAAAGCAATGAATGCTAAACAGGCGAGAGCACTCAATACCGTCGTAAACATATACGAAAGGTAAAGTTGTGATTTCGCACGTGTGGGCTGGTCGGTAGGTTTTGAAACATTTCTAGAAATGTTGTACAATACACTGTCAAAACAGGCAAACTTAGGCAATACTATTGGTTCATTTGATCTGTTGACACATAAATCAATGTCTGATTTGTTTGACCGGAAGTCGGAGTGTACTGCTGGGGACAGGAACGGGGCTGCAATGAGTGGAGCAAGAGCTGCCCCTATAGCGTACATGAGCAGCATGCCTTGCGTGTATAAGCGACCGTCTCTTCCCCAGGTACCTTGCAGGTCCCCGCCAGTAACTACAACATAAAATGCATTTCGTTTCACCTACCATGTACTGTAGATCCTACTTGTCTCGCGACGTCTATTTTGAACGATTCTCAAAGTAGTTTCGTAATATATTCAGAAGTTGCACATTGTTTTACCTTCTAGAAACGAACCAAATCAATGTGATTAACCTGCATTTAAATAAAACGTTACCGAAAAAGATTTACAAGAAGTTGCTTGTAAATTGAACGACTTCTAGATGAACTGATATTTTCCTTTATTTGTTTTATGTATTTACGTATATTTGCCATTTGATCTTCCTTGTTGATCAATTCGGGATTCCTCATTCTTACAAACAGAAAATGCAAAAATAAGTATTGCAAACACACAAACAAATAGTACCTGAATTTATCACTCCCAAATAATACCTGAATTTATCACTCCCAGACTTAATCCGAACATTGAGAAGGCGACTAGCATCAGCCAGTATAAAGAGCACCACGGTATCACCAGTGTGGCGACAGCCAACAGGACATTGGCACCAGCTAGAACGAAAGTTCTCCTTAGCTTGTTGAAGATTGCCCCGCCCACACAGGTGCCGGACATGTACCCTGCGTAGATTGTAGTCAGGATAATGGAACCCTCTTCTAGGCCCACTCCGCTAATGCTTTGGAGGTCTATTAGAGAAGGGCCTATCTGACCTTTGGCAAATCCCTAGAACAAAGTTTTTATAATGTATTTTTATCTGCAAATGTCTTTAATGTAGCTTATGTGTATTTTTCTGTGATATCTGTAAATATATTGA